GACTATCCCTTCTGATGTGATACCTCTGACGATCCTTTCTGATAGGATATCTCTGACGCCCCTTTCTGAAAGGATATCTCTGACGCTCCTTTCTGGTGTGATACGTCTGAAAGTCCTTTTCGATATTGTTATGTGTCCGACTATCCCTTCTGATATGATACCTCTGACGATCCTTTCTGATAGGATATCCCTGACGCTCCTTTCTGGTGTGATACGTCTGAGAGTCCTTTTCGATATTGTTATGCCTCCGACTATCCCTTCTGATATGATACATCTGATATTCCTTTCTAATGTGATACCTCTAGCGTTCCCTTCTGGTATGATATCTCAGACGATCCTTTCTGGTGTGATACGTCTCACAGTTCTTTCGGATACTGTTGTGCCTCTGACTGTCCCTTCTGATGTGATACATCTGACATTCCTTTCCAATGTGATGTATCTCGTGTTTCTTTCTGATGTGTTGTCTCTAACAATCCTTCCTGGTGTGATACCTCTGACGGTTCTTTCCGATGTTGTTGTGCCTCTGGCTATCCCTTCTGATGTGGTACCTCTAACGTTCCCTACAGTGCGACGTAGCACAGGTAGATAGATGGTCATAGCATGGAACACTGTAACATGTGCCGATTGTTGAGCATGGCCACTGTTCTTCACAGCCCGCTCCAATCATGCTGAGCAGATACAGTCTATTATGGTATCTCAACCGACCGCAGTAAAGGGCAAACACGCTTAAGGTGAATGAATGCCATTTGTGACTCTATCATTGTCACATATGGCCAAGTCGAGCCTCAATGAATGTTAATGATATGAGTGCATGGAAAGAAGTTTGAATGAGTCTTTACCAGCACAATATATTCTTAACCTGGGGTAAGGAGGCTTGTGTTCTTCTAGCGGATTTTTATCCAACACTGCCGACACTTCTTAGCCGGCCGGCGCCAAGCACAGCCTAAGTGCAGTGGAAAAGAGCCGCTGGCGCACGCACAAAGGGCAGTAATATCCAAATCAACTCAATGCATACATTCTTCATTTTGTTCGATACAATCTTTGATTAGCACCACTTACCTTCCAGATGGCAGGTTCAGCAAGGAAGAGAACCGGTGGCGGTCAAAAAGGAGCGGAGAAACAAGAAAATGGAAGCTCAAAGGGAGCAAATGATGACAGGAATCGTAAACCTGCTCCGTCTGTCAAATCAAGCAAGGGCTACACCAGGATACTTTTGAAAGCATTCTTTGGTCTTGCAGCTTTAATCAGTCTCGCTCTTGCAGTATTGCCATACTTTGCACATGATGGGATACAGGAACGGGGATCGATCGATCGATTCAAATCACTCATTTTCGGGTCTGAGACACTTCACAACAATGCTCAATCAGCTAACGTAAAGGGAAAAGGCAAGCAAGTCAAAGAGAGCACTTCAGACCCATCACCTGAACAATCAAGTCCAGAAGAGAATCTTGGAGCATACCTCCGTCCATCACTCCCATTTGAGATCGATAGAAAAGACGACCCCGAAGCAATTGTCAGAGATGCCGACACAGAAAGACGCGAAGCAGTGAGAGTTGCTTTTCAAGATAGCTGGTTATCGTATGTAGAAGACGCTTTTGGATCAGATGAATATCATCCTATATCAAGAAAGGGAACAAATTTCAGCGCTGATGGTGGTGTTGGATATTTCATCGTGGATATAATCGATATGCTTTTGATTACAGGAGACCAGGAAGGATACAATAAAGCCCGCGATTGGGTACAAACACTTCGATGGGACGATAAAAGCGGCAAATTCAGCGTTTTTGAGACGACAATCCGTACACTAGGTGGATTGCTGAGTGCGCATGCATTATGTACGCCCGGACAAGAGGATTCTCTATCGATACGAACGAGCAAGCTATGTTCTGCAGATGATGCTACAATGTTTTTGACCAAAGCTGCCGATTTGGCAATGCGATTGAAACCAGCATTTGAATCAAATCGTATGGGTTTACCAGAAAGGGAAGTAGATTTCCGAACTGGAGAAGTGTTCTCAGATATCGACAATAACAACTTGACCAGTCTGGCTGAATTGGCTACTATTCAACTCGAATTCAAATTCTTGGCACATGCGACAGGCGATTCACAGTGGTGGAAACTTGCCGAAAGACCGATTGATGTCGTACGTCAAGCGTCTTTCACTTCCAACTCGGATGGTTTGATGCCAATCTTCTTCAATCCTCAAATTGGAAGACCGCAAATGTCAGAAATTCGATTAGGCTCACGCGGAGATTCATATTACGAATATCTCATCAAACAATTCGTTCAAACGAATAGAACGGAAACAGTCTATTTGGATATGTATCAACAAGCAATGAGAGGAGTGAAGAAACATCTTTTGCGTCGATCAGAAAGTGGCAAGTTTGTTCATACGATAGAAATACAACCATTCATGAATTACCAAACACGCAAGCCTGGTTTCCGATTAAATCCTAAACAAGATCATCTGGTTTGCTTTCTGGGTGGAAGCTTTATGCTGGGAGCATTGCACGTACAACAATCTTTACCTTTCACTGAACAAACGGTTCTGCCATACCCTCCAACATCCTCAGACTCTTTCTCAAACTTAGCTCGTGAGGATTGGTCAATAGGACACGAATTGATAAAAACATGCATGGAAACGTATACAAGTACAAAAACTGGACTTTCACCAGAGATTGCAATGTTTCGTATACAGAACGACAACTATCCAGGATCAGAAGTAGATTGGTATATCAAAAAGCCAGCGGACTATTACAAAGCACATCTCAAAGTCAAAAATAAACCTCCTCCCACTCCATTGATCGATGCAAGAAATATTTTACGACCTGAAACTGTTGAATCTTTGTTCATTGCTTTCCACTTAACGGGAGATCAACAATATCGTGAATGGGGTTGGGAGATCTTCCAAGCATTTGAACGTCATACCCGTTTACCCAAAAACAAAGATGGCAGAAGACCTGCATTCGCAAGTATACGAGATGTTGATGCTATTCCAGTCGAATTTGAAGATCGAATGGAAACTTTTTGGCTAGCAGAAACACTCAAGTATCTATACCTTCTCTTTGATGATCAAAATGGTTTGAGATTAGATCAATGGGTTCTCAACACAGAAGCACATCCATTACCAATCTTTACGCCTACATTTGACACCAATGTACTGTAGTCAGTGAGAATGAAAATATTATTGAAATTGAATGAGAGACTGTATGAGGCGCATTCTGTAAAAGGAATGTATGTATATGAAAAACAAAAAGATCTACAACAGTGTCGGGTATGAGAAAGAGAAAAAGGTAACAATGACAAACTTTTACACCAAAGAGGCAGAGAAATGAAAAGCAACGAACAATGAAGACGATCACATACAGAATAATTTGCTGTTCTTCTTCTTTTGCAATTCATCCATCCTCGTTTCAAGATCACGACGTGCTCTTTCTTTGGCTTCACGTTCATGTTTGATTCGGTTTTCCCATCCTTGTCTTTCGATTCTACCGCTGCTACGTTCACGTTCCATCTCTTGTTGAGCTTGTTCGACTTGTTGACGTAAATCTTCACATTGGCTAGCATATCGTTCTCGTTCTCGTGTTGCTTCCGATAATTGAACTCGAGACTTACGTAAATTGCGTTCGGAATCGTTCAATGCTGCTTCTAATGTAGCAACCAAATCGATATTTGCTGACAAATCTTGTTCACAATGATTCAATTGTTTCGTCAACTTTTCAATCTCTTCTGCTTGTTCTGAAACAAGTTTTGAGGTTGCTTTTGATCCGTCCATGCTTGCAGTATTCATGCTCGTAGTAGAGGAACTACGAGATAACAAGCCTGATCCTCCTGGGGAAGGTGATTCTGCCCGATGAGATTGGCTGAATTGTGCCAAGGAAGATGAAGAACCGGATGAACGAATACCGGAGTTGCGTTGAGTAGGTGTGGTAGCACCATTCATACTAGGAGTTGGTGGTGGTGGCACATTTGGCGGTGGGGAGAGCGGAGGTGGCTTGTTGGATGAAACACCCAACCTTCCATTGCGCGAGAATCCTTCGTGATCACTTGATTCACGTCGAGCAGAAATTGGCGATTTGGAGGAATTGGAGAAGCTTGCTTCATGGGTCAAGCTACTGTCTCCGCTTTGAGAAGGTGTGATGAAACCTTCGCGAGATCGACTATTGCTCGCTGATCTCGTTTCAGCGATTGTCAATTTAATCTGCATTTCACGCAATAGTGATTCTTGACGAGTCTTTTCTTCCAACATGCCTTGGATATCACTCTTGCTACGTTGCAACTCAGAGCGAACATTAGCCAAGCTTGCTTGAAGGTGATCAACTTCCTTTTGTGCTTGTGTCAAATTCTTGGCTTGAGTTGCATGTACATCACCACGTTTCATCTCTTCAAGTTCATGTTGCAATGAATCACGCTCTTCTTGCATTCTCGTCAAAGCGTCTTCCATAGTCACCAATGCGTCACTTGTTTCGGCAAGCTCAGCTCGTAGTGAGACGATATCATTAGGATCAGCTTCAATAAGTGCCTTGTACTTGTTCTGCAGATCAGCATGTGACGAAGTGAGAGCTTCGCGTTCAGCAGCAACATGCTTTAAGTTCTCTTCCACTTCGCCAACCTTTCTCGTGTGCTCTCTGGTCAATTCATGTATACGCTCAGAATGAGTTGTCTTGAGTGCTTCAAGTTGTTCCAAAACATGAACATGATTCTGTTGCAATGTATCCATATCACGTTTCGTAGTCGTTTGATTCGATTCGTGTGTGGCTATAGCGGCTGCGTGCATCTTTTGAGCCTCTTCAAGATTGGTTTGGGCTTCTTGTAGGGCTGATGTATGTTCTTGACGCAATGCTTGAAGTACTTGTTCATGTTCTTGACCAAGCTGTGCCAGTTTGGTCGACTGTTCATCAACCAAGACTTTCAAAGCTTCAGCATGTTGATCATCCTTCTCTTTGATAGCGGAAGTGTGTTCGCCTCGCAATCCTTCGAGGATTTGAGAATGTGCTTGATCCTTGTCTGCAAGACTTCTTGTATGTTCTTCACCCTTGGTAGCCAGCAATGTTTGATGTCCTTCCATCGCCTTGAGATGTTCATCACGCAGGGCATCCAATGCATCCGAATGTTCTTGAGCAGTCTTTTGCTGAGCCTCGTAATGCCTCTTGGAGGTTTCCTCTGCAGTCTCATTGGATGCTTGAGCATGTTCAGCTCGCACTTGCTCAACAGCAGCTGACAGTGATTCTGCATGCTTCTTCTTCAAATCTGCCAAATTGATCGCATGCTTACCTTCGATCTCTTTTACGTGTGCGTCATGCATGTCACTCAGATCGGTGATGGCACGTTCGTGAGATTGCTGCAGAGCAGCATGTTCGACATCCTTTGCCTCCTCTGAGCTCTTCGAAGCGCGAAGTTGTTCTACTTCAGCCAAAAGGGTTGCCTCTCGTTGTTGCATGTTGCGTAACTCTGACATGAGGCTCTCGTGCTGATTCTCCTTGATAGAAACAAATGCATCATTCTCTCTCTTTTGCTTTTCGAGTTCCTTTGTCAATCGTTGCACTTCCACTTGCGCTTCTGTATCTTTGCGTGCCATTGCACGCATGATCTCGTCAACATTCGCTGAACCTTCTTCATCAAGACCGTTTTGTGCACTGGTAAATGTCGCAATACTTCGATCACTTTCCGATCTGGGGAAGGAAAGAGAATCTTTGACAGCTTGAGAGGCTACCCCTGCGATGGCTGCATCTGTATACGCTCCTTGACCTGCCTCAATAGGTGTCTGAATGCCTTTCTGCGTCTTGACTGCTCTTTCCAAAAAGCCAATCTCCTCGTCACGCTCCTTCAAAGTGTTCTGCAACGCCTTCGCTTCAGCTTCTAAGCTTGCAATTCTTCGTTCCAGATCAATTTGACTCAATTGCACACTTGCATTTGGAGATGGTGTAGAACCAGAACTCCAACCAATCTTTGCAAAATCAGCATTGCCAGAAAGACTCAGACGACGTCTTCCGCCCGATTGCAAATCCGATGCTAAAGATTGCGATAATGATCGCGTTCGATACAAAGATTCTGAACCACCATCGGCGCTCAATAGAGATGGATTGTTTTCTTTGTTGCTCGTACTGGACAGAGTGTGAACCATCTTTGGCACGGCTGATTTTGGCATCTGTGGTAACCCTTCGCGAGGCGTGCTCTCGCGCGGGTTGTACCCCAAAAAAGAACCCGAAGATCTGCGAGATAACGATTTACGTCTGGCAGGAGAATTATCCAGCAAAAGACTTTCAGGTCTGCCTTTTCGTGGAGTAGATGCTCCGTTACCGAGTGTGATGGAAGAGCGACGAGATCTCGAAATGGTATGTGCAAATTGTGGAGTGTCTTCTGTGACAGGTGTTGAAGGCGCAGTGAGCTTCATCTCTGTCACTTGTCGATTTAGGTCATCGATATCGATCAAAGATTGCTTGTACTTTGCCTCCAAGGCAGCCAAATCCTCAATCAGCTTTTGCGATGATTCTTTGTTCGCATCGAGCTCATTTGTCAACATTTCCACGTGTGTTTGCAAGAATGCCATCTCCTCTTCATTAGCATCTGTGCCTGCAATACTATGAGTACGTCCAATACTGGATCCAGCATTGCTTCTTGATGCTGCCATGCTTGCTGCGCCCGAACCAATAGCTAAACCTCCCAGCCCTGCAGCCAATGTCGTTGACTTTGAAAGAGAAGAGGATGATCTCAATTCGCGAACTTGGTCTTCGAGCTTTCCACGTTCTAAAGCATGTGCAGCTGCCGCTTCAGTCAACCTTCCACGTTCACGAACAACCTCATCACGTTCAAGTTGCAATTTGTCCAATTGTGATTCAAGCTTGAACAGTTTGGCATCACGTTGATCAAGTTCTTCCAACAAGGCTTTGTTGTCCTTTGTGCTGTCGAGAATCTCCATTCTGTTTTGCAAGTCTTTGTAAGCCTCTTCTTTGCGTTGGACTTCCTCTTCAGCCTTAGCCATCGCAGCGCGCAAGGATAACGAGCTCTCTTCACTGTCTGTCAATCGAGCTTCCAATTCTTTGATGTACTGTTCCCTTGCGCCATCTGCTTCACGTTGTTTGGCAAGATCTTTCTTTAAATCGGCAACAACTTGAGCATCAGCGTTTCCATTGGAAGCATTCTCCACCAATCTTGACTCCAGCTCTTGCGCATATCGATCAGCAGACACTTCTCGATCTTGCAACTTTGTCATTCTGGCTTGCAAATCAGCAATCATCTTTTCACGTGCTTCCAAGTCTTTTTCCATTTCAGACATCTTGCTCTCTCGATCATTGGCATTTCTCTCGTGCTCCATGATCACATCCTCAGAATGTCCAACAGCTGCTCGTAGTAGGTTGATCTGCCCTTCCAATGCGTCGACTGTCTTTTCATACTCAATGATGATAGGTTCAGCTGCTTGCAAGTATTCTTCGCTTGACAGAGAGTCTTTGTTGGCTTGCTGTTGAAGACGTGTGACTTCCGCTACCATTTGACTATGCTTTTGACTCAAAGCTGTATACTTGGCTTGCCATTCTAACACATCTTTTTGATCCATAGCACGCAGAGCTGCCTCACTTCCTGCTGTTCCAGTTCTGAAGCCTTTGACGATCTGTAGCTCCTTCCGTAGCTTCAAGACTTGGGTTTGAAGGTACTCAATATCATCCCAACCCACTTCTACTTCGTTTAATTCGGCTTTATTCTTGATATTACGAGCACGATTGGCATATTGCAACGTATTGACAGTCTCGTTAACATTGTATTCCGTTGGCGAAACACAAGCAATCATCAATGTATGCGCATTTCCCCCAAGACTATCCTGCAATAATCTTGTCAATTTCGAATCACGATAAGGTATATGCGTTGTCCTGCGTGATTTGGCTGGGTCACCAAGTGCTGAGATGACATTTCCCAATGCATGTAAACCAGAGTTGATCGAAATACCTTCTTTCACTCGATCGCCTTGGGCAGCAGTTCGCTTCAAACGTTCAGATCCTGCCAAATCGACAAAGTGGAATTTGCTGGTGACTGTGACCCATTCGCCTGCATCTCCTCGATCTTCTGCCGCAGGTGTTGTACGACCGGAGAGTAGGCCAGAATGGGTGCCTGTACGAGAAGGGCTTGTAACTCGATTTGCGATACTGGAAGTCGGTCGAGGTAGGCCAGATGTTCGTCCAGTAGGCGTCGAACGGCCTGTTGGCGTTGTCGACCTTGGCAGCATGCTAGCCCGATTACCAAAAGCAGATGGCGGTCCGTTCAAATTGGGACTGCCAGAGCCTGTGTATCGTTTCTGAACCAAGGTCAAGCTGAAGATGGCATGAGAACGAGAACTTTGTGCATTCATATCTGTCTCGTTCGTCCTTCGAACAGCTGAACCTTGTAAGAGCTGGGTCATCACATCGGCAACATTTTGAGCTCGAACTTCACGCAATCCGCTCCAAATGATATGACCTGCTTTGTCTTCTCGGATTTGCACCAAAGGTCGACTGTCAGAACCATCTGCGAGAAGATCGATCAATTCTTCATTGTAGATTTCGATAAAGCTGACTTTGGCGATATATTGGGTAGTCGAGCCACGAGCTTGGTTCAATTTGATCTCATTGAAGATCTGTGCAACTGCTCTAGGGATGATACCTGTATGCAGATTGGCCCTTTGTCCTGCCACCAATCCTTCAAAATCATCATCATTCAATGCAGTGCCCATTGTATAGCTCTTTCCACTAGAGGTTTGACCATATGCCAAGATTGTGACATTGTACCCTTCCATAAATCGTCCAATCATCGGCTTGACTGACATATTGTACACCTGTTCTTGTCCATCACTCGGAGATAAAACACGATCAAAGGTGAATGTTGGTCTTTTCGCTGCTCCTGGAGGTGGTGCAGTAGCACCTGGTGGTGTTTGTCCGGTGGCATCTACTTGTACTGCATTACTGTTCAATGCATTTACTACAAGCTTTTGCCATCTTGCTGGAATGGCTGTTTGATCATGTCCGGTTAGTGGACGAATGCGTACAGCGACCTGTACTGATGTTCCATCGTTTGAATTTCCATTGCCGTTGGTGTGACCATTTCCGTTTGTGCTGCCTGTACCATCCCGCAAAGTTGTTGTGCTGTCTCGACGCATACTTGCGATCGAGCTACGTTGACGAATGGCAGACATGGTGAAAGTGAGAAGAATGAGTGGGGATGTACGTGTAGGCTATTGCGCCTCCTTTGCTTGGCGGATTCGTATAGAGATGTTTTGAGTGTCAAAATTGAAGGGTATCTAGTAAGGCGTAAAAGTGCAATCGATCCATTCGTTTATTTGAAGTCAGAGGAAGGGGAGAATCATTCAATTCTTCGGTGAATGAAATAGTCGTAAAAATTGCCTTCAACCCCGCTGATCGCGATTCAGCTTTTGTGCAACCGATCCACAATCACAATAAGTGTGAATTACGCCCACGATGTGACAAGAGTGGCTGTCTTGATGATGGTGAAGGTGAAGTGATAAAGGATGAAGGATAGAATGAATTGCATGTATGTTCCAAATCTGAAGATGCAGCAATACTTGCTGCTGCAGCAGCAGCAGCAGCAGGAGCAGCGACAGTTTAATATCCGAAAGAATACACATTCAGGTTGTAGTGCACTGTATCTCAATCACACTTTAAAGTAGTCTAAAATCACACACACACACACACAAACACGCACACACGCCGTCGCCGCCCTTCTTTTCTTCGGGCGCCGTTTATGAGCTAAAAAAGAATTGAAAAGGGAGGGCGTAGAGTGAAATAGTGCCTATAGGAAGAAAACTGCAATCAATATTCTGTCAGATTAATTTCGTGTTCACTTTTCTTGCACATGACCGTCATCTTAATATTGAATTGAAATATTGATGAATGTGCCATTCAATCTACCTTCTTGTGATGGCAATGAAGATCTCGAACCAATAATAAGAACATTGGAACGCTCTATTGTGATCGGATCGTTTTTTATGTTGATGAGCCAATTGACACCAATTAATCGAAGAAGAAAGGGACCTAATGAAAAGCATTGGGCGTGTAAACAGTGTGAAACGCGTTTGTAAGCGCTCCCCCCCTTTTTTGACACTAGCGCTCTTCTCATCCTACTAATCCTGTCAGGAGCAGATTCGCTTCAATGAAAATCAGCAAAAAGAGGTTCGAGTGTAAAGGAAGATTCTTATCATAGCAGTCTCACAATCGTGGGACAAAACTTTTGAGATAGATGTATTCATATGCAAGAAGATTAGCCATATCTTCGGATAAGAAGATTGAATGATAGTCCCGAAAGGAACAAGACTGCGCTCTGCTTTAGTAAAGGAGCCGGCGCGTGACGCGAGGTTGTGGGTGTGTTTAACGCGTCATTTACGCGGTACACCGAACACGCCTGCCTGTTAGCCTTTAGGAAGAAGAAGAAGGACACTTAGAACAAATGCAACACTTCTTCCTCACCATCAATACACACGATCAAAGCTTGACACGTAATGGAAGAAGATCCAAGAGATACGAGCAATGCATCTGCTTCAGTGTTGGCAGACACAACATCAGCCAGTGCAGCAATGAATGGAAATGATACATCATCAATCGCAATTCCATCACATATAACCGAAGAACAAGAATTACGTAAACCAGGTGATTCAAATTATTCTACAAAACAACAAGATAAAGCAGCTTCCGGACCTGATGGAATAGATCAATATGAGCTAGCAAAAGCTCAAGTCAACAAAGTAGTAAAGAGCGCAGTGAGTACATTCAGTCCTGCCACAACCTTCCAATGCTAACTCTCCCATTCCTTCCCCCAGAACCCTGACAACTTCACACTACGAAAAGAAGTCTCACTTGCGATGATAAAAGCAAGTACAGTTTTCATCAGCTACCTTTCCGCATCAGCATACGATAAAACAAACGAAGCGGGTAACAAGACAATCGGCGCACAAGCTGTTTTGAGTGCATTCAAAGAGATGGGTTTCCCGGAGCATTATTATAAACAACTCAAGAAAGAATACAATGAAAAAGTCAATCCTGAAACAAAGAACAAAGCCACAGAGCCAAACACAGATGATGCAGAACAACAAGAGGGAGAAAGTGCAATGGACGTCGATCAAACAGAACAAGAAGGAGAAGAACGTGGAGCAGGCGAAGAAAGTATCGCAGTGGGAGATGAAACGCTGGCTGCTGTTGATGCTGCTGGCGAAGGAGAAAACGATGAAGAAGTTGAAGAATAGGAAAATCAGCACTCGCTGCACGTATTCATAACCGTTCAGCGGTACGTATGAGTGAAGGTCACTTACGCGAGAATGGGATCAACAACATTCGTTCGCTCTCCTCCGTCTTGCAGACACCGAAGTTGCCTTACACTTTCCCCTTCAGTACGCATGAGATGGATACGCATTTATCGTGCATCGTTACCAGTCAAGGAAAGAGCTTCTTGTCAATCGATGTTCAGGTTCCATGGCAAGGCACTTCAAGTGAAGTGTTTGGCAATGTTACTCGTGACTCTCCTACATCCGCATCACTTGCTGCTATTCGTGAGTACCTCTCCAACGTTCAGCAACTTGCAGGGTCTTCATCGCAATTCACGATTTCCAATGATATCTCTGAGAAGATTCAAGATGATTTTGTGATTATCCGAAAAGCAAATCAAGCCGCCACTTCTGCCACCTCTACCGACACCCAAACAGCTTTGGTTACGATCATGGATACCCCCAGATGGCCAGATTGATTTGCATGACAAATGGTAAAACAGCATTACGTTGGCAAGATTGGCAAGAAGCAAAACAATTGGAAACAAGGCAGGTTGGCCAGATTGAATGCAGTCAAAGTTTAAATATGCATGTAAAGTTCATAATGACATTCATTCAAACATGACGTAATTGCGTTCGATTGACCTATGCTTAACAACACTTGCTTGAGGCTCGACTTGGTGATCTTGATGATGACGGAAACTTGGAGGTGCTTAGTGGTGTAATGAAAGATCATGAAAAATTTGATTGTGGATTCAGCTCACTTCTTCTATCAAACGGTCTGCAAGACCCTTAAGACAATCAAGTCATTCTGACTTCTGATGAAAGAAGT